GGAGAACAAAGAAAAAGTATGTAAGCGCTACCCACCGCCCAGCAGTGATTGCAATTATGCAGGTCCATTACGGTAGAAGTTATATAATCAAGGGAATCAAGGCAAGACAGCGAGTCCGTGACTCAATGGTTATAACGTTGGACTTCCGATCAAAATGTCACAGATTCGAGCCTCGGATGATGCACCACTTGGGTTTGGGTGTGACTTACTAAGCTCAACAAATATATCAGAAATGGCCATTCCAGTCTCCCCTCTTCCTTGCCGGTAATGCCATCTGCCCAGACTACTAGTCGCTATGTGACTACTGGCGGGGCTGAAGAATGAGCCCCTAGGCCGAACGGGACGAATGAGTTCCGTTAGCGATCGTGAACGTTAATCAACGAGGTTCAGGATTTATTTGTCCGCATGTCCATTTGATGGATTCTATCTATTAAGGGGGGGGAGTATCTAGGAGGCCGATTCGATGATATTTTTGACAATCTATCTGGCTATCTTTCTGCTTTCGCGGATTCATCATCGGAGACATGAACAGTGTGGCTGAGTTCTGTTACCACAAAACCTCCTTCGGCTTTCAATGTATTTTTCTGTGTCGTGTTATGTGACTGCGTTATGGATAAGCTAGTCTCCAACGTACTGTCTTGAAGCAATATGGAGGTCACCAACCATTCCCAGGCCACCATGCGCAGGCCATGCTTCCTTCGCAATTCAGCAGAGCAATCGCTCCATGAGTGCCTGCACCCAGGCCCCCTTACCAATATCCGATCATACTTCTGCTACCAAGGGTATGCCTCTTCACTCAACTCAACCAATACTGAGACGACATACAGATTTCTGACAGTGTGCAACTCAACCACCAACTTTCCCCACAGGTCTCATCAACCTGACTCCTTCCTGCCAGCCGCAGACGCCCACGCTGTCCACAACATTACCGTTGGCATGCATTTCATTCACTCGATTGATATATTCTTCGTCCGTTCGAATTCTTCCATCACCCGAATTTAGGTCTTGGAAGGGAGCACTTGTAGTGACCCACATCTGTGTGCAACG